AAATACCATGCCTATAGGACATAAAATAATCAATTCTGCATATAGTTATCATGCTTATAGGAAATATCGGTTTCGCGCTTAGATATCATGCCTATAGGAAATAAGTATAAAATCAGTCTTGACACTTAGACATCATGCCTATAGGAAGTAAGTGTAAAAAATCTATTTCTGTGTTTAGATATCATGTATATAAGAAAAAATGCTTATAATCAGTTTCAGCACTTAGAAAGCATGCCTATAGGATCTAAAAGATGAAATCCGTCTGTTGAAATCAATAACTGGTTTACAGCTTAGATACCATGTCTATAGGGTTCTACTCGACTATCACTTAGGCAAGCCTGTAGGATAATTAAAATTCTGTGTCTAAAAACTGTGATTGCTTGTTTAAGATATGCCCGAATTCAGAGTATTAACCAAATCAGTAAGCAAACTGATAGGCACTCGTCTGCTTGCTTAAAAACTGTTGTATATTTTTCTTTGTGCTCATTCAGATATCATGCCTATAGGATCCTAAAATCATTTAAAAATTGCTTGTTTGAACAGCGTGCATTTGTTTGTCTATTTGTGGAGGTTAACATGAGCCCACTTAATCGCTCCTTATGTGACGGTCCTACTTGACTTTTATTAGTCGCTTAGTTTTCTCCTTTTAAACAACATAGGAGAGTCTAGAACCACCTTAAATAGAGGTCCTAAACACCTCCAGGGCTAGAGGTAAGGGACGGGTAGTGCACGCATAAGGTACGTACTGGATGTTATCAGAATGCTTAGGTAATAATTGAAAAGGGGAGGGTAATTGGGTAGTAAAGGAGATGATGACCTGTGCGCTAATGCTACGCGTAACACCTCAATTTGGGGAAGGTTACTGAGTATTGCATAGAAGTGATCCTATAGGCTAATAAACTTAGGACCCTTTTAATTCCCGTTTAAAATAATCTCCATTTGTTTAAACTGCTTTATTTCCTTAAAGACTAATTCGCTTGAGTTGAGTTTGGCCGGGACCCATTGTTGTGGACCTCGAGGGGTGCCTAATACCTTCCCCTCAAGGTAATTTCGAGCCCTTACCCAATCTCTGGTAATGTAAATGGTCTCACGAGTTAATTGTTCTAGGTGCCCTAACGCACCTTAATTCGTTAGGTGGCGACTCTTCAAATCTCATACCCAATTCCCAAAAGGAAAGGAGTTGTCCCAAAATGTCGAAACCCGGACTCCGCGAGGAAAAAGGGGGCGCGACATCCACGATCTAACAATTTTAAATTAGAAGGTTTTTCAGATGCTGATCTTGCAGGTGATAAGTCAGAAAAAGCACCAGTGGAACATGTCAATTACTTGGAAAGGCACTAATATCTTGAAACAGTAAAAAGCAAGGATCACTCGCATTATCCACGACTGAGGCTGAGTATATCGCCATTGGAAAATATTAGGCACAATTACTATGGATGTCTCATCAATTGGGTGACTATGAATTATTCTTTAAACCTATTCCAATTTTCTTGATAACTCTAGAGCTATATGTCTAAGAATCTTATGCATCATTCTAAGGCTAAGCATATAGATATCAAGCGTCATTTTATTAGATATCATGTTCTTAAGGGAAATATAGAACTATCTTTTGTTGGAACTACTGATCAATTAGCGAATATCTTTACTAAGCTATTACTAGAGGACAGATTTGGCTTTTTAAGAGTATTACTTGGTATTATTTGCATTAATCATTAATGTTAGGACCTATGTGTTACTATTTTTTTATGCCTAATGTTCAAACTTTGTTGTTTTCTGATCATTAATTGCGCCTCCGAATTCCCTCTCTTTTCCTCTCTTTTCACATCAGTTACAGAGTTCAAAGAAGGAAACCCAATCATCACGTCTGTTCAACTGACACTCCTTCCTTTTCTGTACTCAACCGTCAGAAACCCTCTTTTAATACCTGAAAACCCTTTTCAATCTCCATCGTCCCCATCGCCTAGAAACCCTCTCCAAAACTTTCTCTCATCAAAATCTCTTCCATGGCCAAACACTCAAAAAATCCTTCTGCTTCCACCAGGAAGAGTACTCGCTCCAGAACTAAACTCCCATCTCAACCTCCAGAACAAGTAGACCTAGGGTCCGACCATTCTGAAGGTTTTACCTCCTCTCAGGAGGACCTTTCAGACCATTCTCACTCTTTAGGAGAAAAAGCCCTAGGAAAAATGCCTATGGAAGAACCCCCTGAATCCTTTACTCCAAAGAAGCCGAAAATAGATCTCTCCAGTTCTTTAGAGTCTGACCTAAATTTCTGGGATTCTCCAAATAAGAATTTTCTCTTCGCTTTGAAAGACAAGCCAATTGCTCATGGGAGGGTAGTCGACCTTGATGACATGGAAGCCCTAAATTATAAGGTAAAAGATTTGTTTGTTCATCAGGGCTGGTCTAAATTCTTTTCTGTTCCCTCTCCTAAGGTCTATAAACCCCTAGTGAAAATGTTTGATGCAAATCTTCGTTCCAGTAAGTCTGATAAGTTGGAATCCTTAGTGTTAGACAAGCACATTGTTCTTGGTTGTGCTATGCTTTTCAAAAATTCCTGGCCTGATGACTTTGAAATCACTTTTGATCAAACAAAACGGTGTATTGCTGAGTGTCCATCTGATTCTCTCCCAAACCAGTTAGGCCCTAGTGATGTTAGCTTTGAAACTCGTGTTCTAGCCCACATTGTTGCAACTACTCTGCTTCCTTGTACTTGGTCTTTCTCCACCTTCTCTCAAAGAGATACCTTTCTTGTGTATTGCCTTGTGACAAAACTCAAGATCAAACTGTCCTCCTGGATCATCAATTTTATGATTGAGAGTGCTGATGATCCCACTAGTCTACCCTATGGGATGGCCATCACTCACATTCTGGAGGCACATAATATCTCCATCTCTGAATATCCCTTCATATCTGTTTCAAAATCTTACAATTCCAGAGCGTTTGAAAGTATGCGGTATATGTGTGTGAAGGGCTCATGGGTAAAGAAACAAGAAGGTGAATTCAAACATGCTCAACCTCATCCAAAACCCAAACCCTCTGTTTCCCATCATAGTCCTAGTGTCCCTGATCTTGCTGAGAAACTAGTGGCCATTGACAATCAGTTGTCCGCCATCAAAGCTCTCCTTACTACTACCCAGTCCACTGTTGGAGATATTCATGCTATCTTAAAAGAGACAGGGTCTGGTGTTTTAAAGATAAGAGTTGCAGTTCTCAGAGTTAGGGAAATCGTAGTCAAGGCATTCAAGGAGGTACACGACAGGCTTGATGGAGTGACTATCTCAGCCAATGCCAGATTTGATCAGCTAAAGGAAGCGATATGCAACACACTTACTATTTCTTGCGTCGTTAATGTGGAAATTTAAGACAATTTTTTTGCTATGCTGTTTTGGACTGGATAACCAGTCGTTTGGATGATTTCTGCTTTTCTTTATGTTGTTTAGACAATATAATTTGTTTTGCCATAACTCTGCTAGCATATCATGTTTATAGTATATCGTGTATAGTGTATTGCTATCTTGTCCCCTCTTTGCTGATGCCGAAAAGGGGAAGAAAGGATATCCATATTAGTGCAGATAGTGCAGATACATCCACTGCAAGGGAAGTCGACTATAGATACTACAGGAGAAGCTAACCAAAAGAAGTCCCAACGGCACCTCTTGAGGGGGAGTCAGAGATCTTGGAGAAGCAGTCAACTAAAGGAAGCACCTACTGAGGGGGAGTAAAATACAGGGAATTCAACTGATGTTTACATATTTACATATATTATTTTGTCATCACCAAAGAGGGAGATATTGTTAGGTTTAGTTTTAATGATGAAAAATAATATTACTGTTTTTGATATAGGAACTCAAGGAAATCATCCAAGATTAAAGAACTCAAAAGGAAGGAATCAATCAACCAACTAAATATTCGGTAAGGGAATCAATCAGAGATTGATTGAAACGGAAAAGAAGCATCGAAGATCTTGCAAGATGATCGATCAAGCTGCTATTTTTGGAAGGACCAATAATCAAGGAGTAAACCCGAGTTATCACGACTTGTAGAAGGAAAGCTATCAATGCCCTATCATCAAGGAAGAGCAACGACAAATAACCTTATTCTTGGAAAGAATCAATCTCTTTTCAAGGATCAAATCTCTTGGGTTGTCAAATCTCTTCAGCAAACGGCCTCCTACAAAGTATTTATACGCATCCTTAAGACTTAGACAAACATACTTTGATCGAACCAAATACCCTCTCTTTGTTCTACTGCAAACAAATATTGTAGTTCTACTAGACCTGCTGTGTAGCAAGTTAGAGAAGAAAGAGAGAAAAATACTGGTGAGGCATTGTATCAAAAAGAAACGAGTGATATAGGAACTGAGCCATTGGTGTAAACCACACCATTCACTTTGTACTCGAGAAACTCATTCACTGAAAGAGAACTCCCTTGCAACCCAAGGGGACTGAACTAGGATTCACATTGAATCCGAACCAGTATAAAAATTTTGGTGTCTTTAATTCCTGCACTTTGTTTCTGCATCTTAAATTATGCTCTTACTGTTATCACGTTATTACATCTAGTTGACTAATTAGAAAACTAGTCAACTTGTAGCGATGAAAATATAAAAATAAACAATTCACCCCACCCCCTTGTACTTTCAACAGGACACCCTAAAATACAGTTGGATTGATGTCTAGAATGCAATTTGCTGATAAACCATAGCCTTAATCATTTAGCATAACCACCTCCAAGTTTGTCAGTGTCAGCCATTTTTGCGAAAGAAATCAAGTACTAGAATATATCAACTATGCTGCTTAAGTTAAGACAGTTTTTGAATACTACTACTACAATTACTCCTTAACCCCAAGCTAGTGGGTGCCAATTGCAATAATTTAGCTTTATTTGATGGTTGAGTCTTGAAAAGAAACAGAAAGAAAGAAGAAGACATACTAGTTGTAGTCATTGTGAATTTTTATCTAACTTTAGATTTAAGACCCAGAAATTTCATATGTATCTCAATCGCATCCATCTGCGTCAAAGGACAAAGTGTTTGCTGATGTATCAAAAGATAATGCTACACCTTGGAGTTGATTACTTCCTAATATTGAGTATTCATTATTCCATCCCTTAAAAGCCAAGCAGTAGAGCCCACGATACTTCACAACGACTTGTTCTTGCGCGAGAAACAACATGGTACTCGGGTTTACGCTGCCAAAGTACAACTTCACAACAAGAAAGTATAAGTCATGACCATTTGGATCTTCCTTATAGCAAGTGTCAAAAGCTCCAACTGGATTTTCAACCATTCTAATATCCCGTACTTCAATTCTAAATATGTAGCGAAAGACTATATAAAAATCATGAGGAAAACGGGTAAATCTTGTTCCTGTATCCACTAAGATTCCGCCGTTCAACATATCTTGTGTAAAATTCCACCGTGATGGTTTCACTAGAATTTCCCGATCATTAACAAACACTTATAAAGGTTGACAAAGTAAAGTGATGGTTGCACGTAATTTGGTAATAATTTTGCTGATTTTGCTCCTAGCCAATTGCTTGTATGAAAACTCAATACAGATCCTTTTCCCGAAAGGAAACTTGGTAGACACATGGAAATTAGAGTCAGCGCGAAATTGCTATGGTAAAGAGTATCCACCAACTTGTACTGGGAATGCATCACGCCCGAGGCCAGCAATCCCAGAAGCGGAAGCAATGAAATTTCTTTCATCGGTTTGATCTTTGCTACATCCAAACGTAACCCTAATTGGTCTTTGGTCTAATACAAAATTTATTACGTCATCTGCTATAAAACCTTTTGTTCTTGATCAATCCACATAATCATGATCATACCTACACTCAAAGCTATCTAGATCGTAGTGAAAAGCCGGGTTATTAGTCATGCATCTTGAACCATGTCGAAAGCAATCAACTTTTCGAAATGTTTTAGATGTAGTAGAATCATATTTTGTTTGTAGCACTTATTTGCCTCACATGGTCCACATTGCCGTAGACATGTGATTTTTGACCCTCCCCAATTTTTTTTTTATTTTAGCATGTAAATATTTAGTATAGGCCTAATATCGCTATTTCAACTAATTTTGACTCTTTTACTTCATTTCGTCACAAAAAAAAAATTACAAAAAAATATGTTTGTTTTAACGGTTACTCTTATTTTAATAGTTATTTTATTTAAGTAAGATTGATACTATTATTTGGCCAAACTTTCTTAATAATAACAAAGCGTTATTGATTGTGGACACGTTTGCATGACATAATTTTTGACGCGCCAAACAAATGGGTACACGTACCTGTTTCAAGATAATCTCTTAATTAAAAAGGGCATATGCACATAGGTTCAAAAAATGAGTAGTTAAACAATTTTAATGAGCCAAGTATGATCAAAGCAACCGTGCTAGAACCACGGAACTCGGGAGTGCCTAACACCTTCTCCCGGGTTAACAGAATTCCTTACCCGGATTTCTGTGTTTCGCAGACATTAAAACAGAGTCAAATCTCCTCGATTCGGGATTCTAAACCGGTGACTTGGGACACCATTAACTATCCCAAGTGGCGACTCTGATCTTAAATAATAATCCCGTTTCGATTGTCACTTAAATTGGAAAAACTCCCTTATATACCCTTTCGAGAATAGTGAAAAGGGAGGTGTGACAATTGCCACCAAAGTAAATCACTTCCAGTATCTATTACCAAATAATTTTTTATCATTTCGCTACCTATCAGAAAAGATGCAACATACTCACTACTCGCAAAGTAAGTATCCGTTGATTTTGGGACCAATTCCCTTTTTTTTCCCAGTGAGATCGGCATTTGCGCCATTTTGGTTGTCAAGAATTGAAGCTAAATAACTTGCTCTAGCGTCACATCGAGCAATTCTACTTTCAAGCAACGAGTCGTAATCCTTGAAGTCTTATTTTTCAAATACATCGCGATGGTAAATAGTAAAAGTATATGGAAGCTTAATTGGATAAAGTGTGATGACCCGAAAGGTGATCTTATGTTTTAAAACTCAATTCTGTGTTTTTAAGCTTTAAACACCTCACTTTATCCCTCCTTGATTTGCGTGCGCAGTCGGGACGTATTTCCGAAAAGCTTTTTACGTTAAAACCTGATGAAAACAAGAATTTTGCCTAAAAAATTTTATTTGAGTTGACTTCGGTCAACATTTTGAGTAAATGGACCCGGATTCGTATTTTGACGGTCCCGGTGGGTCCGTATCGTAATTTGGGACTTGGGCGTATGTCCGGAATCGAATTCGAAAGTCCCTAACCCGAGATATCGGACTTTTTTGAAATTTGAAAGTTATAGGCTTAATGAATTTGAAATGTCTGACCAATGTTTGACTTTTTGGATATCGGGTCCGTATTTTGGTTCTAGAACCCGGTATAAATCCAATACCATATTTATGAATTTTCTGTCAAATTTGGTGAGAAACAGAGTTGGTTTTACGTGATTCGGACGTTCAGTTGTGAAAATAGAAGTTTCAAAGCTTTCTTGAAAATTTCATTTGATTTAGTGCTCAATTCTTAGTTCTAGGTGTTATTTTGGCGATGTGATCGCGAGCAAGTTCGTATGATGTTTTTATACTTGTGTGCACTTTTGGTTTAGAGCCCGAGGGCTCGGTGAGTTTCGGATAGGCTACAGAGTAAAAATTGGACTTAGAACATTGCTGGTATTTCCAGTTTTGGTGCAGGCCTCTGATCTCACATTTGTGAGATTAGGCATCGCATTTGCGACCTCTGAGGTTTTTGCATTTGCGAGCTACACCTCACATTTGCGAAAACTAGCTGGGCCACATAGAGCTCGCATTTGCGAAACATTCTTCGCATTTACGAAGTGAGTCAAGGGACAGCAGTGATCGCAAATACGATCATATGGTCGCAATTGCGGAAGGTCAGGTTCGCGTTTGCGAACTATTCTTCGCATTTGCGAAGAGAGCAGGGGTGTGAAGATCTTCACATTTGCGATTTATTCTTTGAATTGGCGGGGCATGCACTTGCAAAACCTAGGTCGCAAATGTGACACCTACAACTGATCAAAAATGACTTAGACGGGATTTTTGGTTCATTCTTCAAATTTTCAAACTCAAAAACCCTAGAGGCGATTTTTCAAAGAACTTTTCTTCCCCAAATCATTGGTAAGTGATTCTAAACTAGTTTCTTTCAATCTTTCACTACTTTTTCTAAGATTTCAACCTAAAATCTAGAGTCTCATGGTGGAAATTGGGGGTTTTTAGTAGAATTAGGAATATTTGAAAATAGGGATTTAGACCTCAAATTGAGGCCGGACTCCAAAACAAATTATATAACCGGACTCGGGGGTGAATGGGTAATCGGATTTTGGTCCGAATTTTGGGTTTGGACCAAGCGGGCTCGGGTGTTGACTTTTGTTGACTTTCGCAATAATGACCTAAATTGAATTCTTTACAATCGTGGGTAGTTCCTAAGGCTTAATTTGAGTCGCTTGGTTGGTAATTTGCTAGATCCTATTGGTTCGGAGGCTTGTTTGAAAGGAAAAATCGTGGTTGATCTTTGAGTTTTGTCTTTGGAGCGAGGTAAGTGTCGTGGCTAACCTTGGCTTGAGGGAATAGGACTTGTTTGTCTATTTTCTACATGTTTAGATGTTGGGTACCACGTATATGTGAGGTGACGAGTATTTATGTGTTATTGTCGGGTTAAAGCATGCGGGTGGGACTTGGTTTCTTGTAATTATTGCTTTCTTTGATCATGTTATCCATGTTTAGACTAGTATTATTAAATTGATCGTTCTTATCATGTTTACGGATCTTTTGGTTATAATTAAGCATTGATTTCAAAGTTGAGGTTGGTATTGTGGAACCAAATGTTGAAGTAAGGCTTGTTCGTGTTATTTTATCTCCCTGTTGTTATTTGTTCATTGCCTTATGGTAAGAGAGAATATTAATACACGAAGGGTGGTGCCATGCCATATTGTGAGTATTAATACCCGAAGGGTGATGTCGTGCCATATTGTGAGTGTTAATGCACGAAGGTGGATGACGTACCATATTGTGAGTGTTAATGCACGAAGGGCGATATCGTGCCATGTTATGAGAGTTAATGCACGAAGGGTGATGTCGTACCGTTTCTGTTCATTTATATGGTGAGGTTGAGAGTAAAAGAACGAAGGGTAATGCCGTGCACTTTCCTTTATTGTCTTTAATCGTTTTCACTGGTTCAAGGCATATTGATTGTTCTGGTTATCATTTCTGTTGTGATTCTCTTATCTCGTATCCCCCTCAGCATGTCCCCCTCCCGATATTACTTGTCTAGTTTCTATTTGTTGTTATTTTGTACATATATTGTTATGCTGCATAGGTTTATTATGCAGGTGTCTTGTCATAGCCTCGTCACTACTTCATCGAGGTTAGGCTCGACACTTACCAGTACATGGGATTGGTTGTACTGATACTATGCACTTATTGTGCATATTTTGGTACCAGCCCTAGCTTATCGTGAGGTTAGCAGCTAGATTGCTTGACAGGAGACCCAAGGTAGATCTGCTGGCGTCCGCAAACCCTGGAGTCTCTTCCTAGTCTTATTATTTTACTGTTTCTTTTCCTTCAGAACAGTGTATTTTCTTTCAGACTCTGCTTGTAGTAAATCATAGTAGCTCGTGAGTTGTGACTCCAGATCCTAAATGTAACAGATATTATGGGTTTTATGTTATTCCACAACTCAGCTTTAGCTTCTATTTAGCTTAATTGTTCTTGTTATTGAAATTTGCTAAGTTGGCAATAAGAATCCTCTAACGTTGGCTTGCCTATAAAGTGAAATGTTAGGAGCCATCACGGTCCCGACGGTGGGAATTCCGGGTCGTGAAAAGTTGGTATCAGAGCACTAGGTTGCCTAGGTCTTACAATTCACGAGCAGGCTTAGTAGAGTCTGGAAGATCGGTACAGAGACGCCTGTACTTATCTTCCAGAGGCTACGAAGTTTAGGAACAATTTCACTTCTATTCTTCTCTGTCGTGTGATTTTGTTCTCTCATTGCTTATTGAACTCTTCTACTCTTGTTCTCTCGCATATGGCGAGAACACGTACTGGATCCTCAGCTGAGCAGCAGTCAGAGCCCCCAGTAGCAGCTTCTACGAGAGGCAGAGGTCGAGGCCAAGGCCGTGCTAGAGGTTGAGGCCGAGGCCAGAGCCCAAGGCAGGGGCAGGGCTCAGCCCAGAGCTCGAGCAGCAGCACCAGCAGTGGAGCCTCAGGTAGAGTTTGACGAGGAGGTTCCAGCGCAGACTGTTCCAGCCGGACCAACTCATGCCACGGAGGGTTTATCGCCACCCCAGTGCTTCAGGATGCTTTGGTCCGTTTGGTGGGCCTTATGGAGAGTGTGGCCTAGACTGGCACATTTCCCATGGCACCAACCGTCTCTCAGGCTGG